AACTGGTGAAGAACGCTATTGGGACAAACTTCTGCTGCACATTAGCTGGCCCCTCTTGAAGTGAAGGCATTTATTTATTTTTTGTTCATTTTTACAAATCATCGGTAAATCATATATTATTTTCAATCAAAGAGTAGCTGAAAAATGACCATCTCGCCTTTAAGAAGGCACTTAACAGTTACCGGAGAGGAAATTTCATCCCAAAAATTCTCGTCGCGATGTTATTTTATTTTTCTCGTACTTTTTTATTATGAAAATTCGTTTAATTAATTGATTAATTATTTGTTTGTCTAGCCTTCTTAAAAACTTCAGTTTCTACCTTTCCTTTTTGTTAACTAATCAATCTGATAGTACCTTTAATACTTATGTGACTTCATTAATAGGGGGGATACTAAGAGGTTAATCTACGAGCCAGGAAAGGCAAAATTTACGTGGAAAATCACATACACGAAGATTTTAATTTAAAAAAAAAAAATCCAATTTATCTCACTGTCATGCCCCGTTGACGAAATATGTGTTAGTTTGGGGAATTTTCAAAATTACTTAGACCAAAAAAATTGAATTTAAAAGATCCATGTAGAATTTTCATATAGTATTCTTTGCAGATATTTTTGTATTTTAATGTTGATATTCCAGCAGAAGAGTTACATCGTGTCCAAAATTAAGTTTCTAAGCATAAAACATGTGAGATCTGAAAAAAAAACAAAAAAAAACAGTTGCTTAATTGTAATGAAATTTTATGCACAGATGCCAAACACTACACGGATACAGCCAATAGTAGCATAATAAAATAAATAGGAGGTAAATGTTTTTTTTATATAACTTTGGAACACCAAAATGACCAAAACTTGACACATTGTGGCTGCTATCATTTCTGTTGTTAAGCTTTGCATTGTATCATCCGGCCAGTGAATGACTCCTCATTATTTCAACGATTCACCATCATCTGCCATATGCAAAGTTTGGATGGAGAGAGATGCTCACGCAGCTAGTTTAAAAGCATATAATCCAAACTTGTGGAAAACGCGGAGAGTTTACTGTTCTATATAGGAAAAATTGCCTATATCAAATTAATCGAATACCTTGATAACCCTAATTTTATCAGCATAAGCCAGTATGGATTCAGGATACATCATTGAATAAATAGCTGAAAATTTTTAATAAAAGAGAAATCACTGCTACCTGCTTTATAGATGCTGAAAAAGTATGACACAGTGCAGTTATCTAATAAGTTAGCGAATACTATGTAAAAGTCATTACATAGTATGAATTTTACATAGTATTCCCTAACTTATTAATTTACAAATTTGTAATGAATGCTAGAGTATTCATTACAAATTTTGAAAAAAAAAAAAAAGTTTTGAAATTTGTATTTCCAAGCCATGTACATTTTTGCCGGGATGAGGACAATGTTTTTGCGTTTTATTTTTTTCCACTTTAATTCTGTATGCAACAATGAATACCAGCGAAAAGCTACTATAATAGCTATAAGCTTGAGCAATGAAAGATATAGGATAATATAATAAAATGAAATAAAACATTTTGAATGAATATGAAATAAAGCGTGTTTTAGCAGAGAGGCGGACGGAAGAAGTGTCGAGCCGCAGTAGGCCAGTGCCTGGAATAAGCAAGGCTAGATGAACAGTAAAGAATACTGGACTTTCAGTCTTTATAGCACTGCTGGTATAACCTTTTTTTCAAAATTACGTTTCTCTTAATTATTGACAAGATGTCTTTCGCAATTCTATTTGGCTATTTTAGTTTACTAATTTTTGTTTCTTAAATGGGACGTAATAAATAATGGCTTAGTTGTTAGCGGAGTAAGGTTTCATTTAACATGCCTTCTGATTATATTAAGTTATATAGCGAGGCAGGCTGTCTCAACATCTTATTTCTAGAATGATCCGTCTAATAAGGAGTCTGATTCTATAATTAAGACAAATAATTGCCTAGATAAGAATTGATTTAGATAGATAAGAATCATTATAAATAGATAATGTTCTTTGAATTAAATTTTACTGCTCTTTTTCCCTAACTATGAAAATGAAATTGATAATTTGTTAATTGTTTATTAATGTTTTGGATTTTAGACTTGAGAATTTATGAAAATGAATTAAATGTGACCACATTTTCATGTAATTATGATCTAATTGCTTTGATGGGATTGAATTTGTGGCCGTTCTCAACTAGCAAGAACAAAATAAGATTTGGAACAAAATATGAATTCAAGACTTCCCGATTTTAGGACGTTTCTAATAACTTCTATTTTTTTATAAATATGGTTGAAGGCAACAGTTGTAACTGCTTAGCTCTCGTATGCAAATTTTGATTATGTAATATATTATTTGTACATATGTCGCACAAAATGCAAGGATGTCATTGATACATATTCTTTAATTTTGGTAACAATTTACTTTGGCTGATACAAAAGAAGCGTCGCTGATCTGGCAGTCCACCTAGTTATGGTGGCTGCTGGTTGTACATGTAGATTTTACCTCCGCTGATCAGATATTAATTCCGATTGGTTTCACCTTAGGACGGAAGCCTGACTGGCGGCGAACGAACGAATAGCCTTGTGGTAAGAAACACCACACTTCTAAAACAGAAAATCTTAATGAGCGAAGGGTTCTCGAAAAATTATTAATATTTTCTTTTATTTTTTTCTTGAAATAAAATGTATTTTTCTCTGCTAAGACTCCCAATTTTGCTGTACACCGTTTGAGAATCACTGCATTAAATAACATAAGAAACACATAATCGTTTTAGCTCGTTACTACTTTTCTGCTCGTATTGTTCCCCCATCTACTCACAGGTTTAACTTGACATATCCACTGCTTGTTTCTCTCTTCCCTATTTTGTGTTAAAATGTATGCAAGTATGAGATAATCTATTGATATAATAATGTTTTTTTATGCTTAACGTTCATTCCTGATGCGTTAATAATGAAATAGTATCTGTTTGTATAGTTAACTATTAGAAAAGGAACTTTTGTACATAGGCTTACCTTGCTTCCTACATTTTTCTTGTCTAACAAGAGAAAAAGCACGAGAATTGGTTTGTAAGTGTTATGTATAAAAATAAAATTCTTCTTTGGATAATTTTTGGATAAAATTCTGTTGATGCTTATTAGCCTTATACATTCCCTTTGCTTTTGAAGTTTGCTTGCAAATTTGTAGCTGTCGCAGAAGAATCCTTCAGGAAATCTGCATAGTGAGCTTAATCCTTTGACCGTGAATCATTTTTAATTATGATTACTTACAGGGCTTATTCAGAAAGAAGTAAGATTGAAATTTAAAAAAAAATTATTTTACAGTTTTGACACATCGACTTAATAGCTTTCAAAATATGTCCCTTCTGCAACAACACAACGTTTCCAGCGACTCTGCGAATCACTGATGGCTCCCTGGAACACAGAAACTGGAATGCTCTTCAGCTCCCTCGTTACGGCCTCTTGAATGGCCTGGACCGAGCTGTGGTGCCCTTCTTTCATGACGCTTTTCAGTCGGGGCGAAGAGGACGAAGTCTGAAGGGGCGACGTCTGGGCTATGGGGTGGCTGAGAAGCTATCTAATGTCATGTTAGGACAGGAAGTCCATGGCAGCAAAGGCGATTTGTCTTGGCGCCATTGTCATGATGGAGTTTCAATGGCCCAGCGATTGATGGACGGATGAGGGCGACACGTTTTGAGTCTGAGGCAGTCGGAGTTCAAAATATTTCTCACTTTCACTAAGTTTTGGTCACTTTCTGCCTTTGAAGGGCGTCTTGAAACTTGCTCCTCTTCAACTTGCTCTCTTCCCTCCCAAAACAATTGATGCCACTCAAAAACACTTGATCGACTTCACTCCCATAAGCAGTCTTGATCATTTCGTGGATATCACTCGCAGTTTGACGCAGAATTTCACCGCATAATCCTGTTCTAACAAAAGATTCATTGTGGAGATGACAAGGCACCTTGAAAAAGGCTCACCTTAAACTCGATCTACAATCCGTGAAGGCTTGGAGACGATTGGTGACTGGTGAGCTGGTAGCTATGATTCTCCACAAACCAACCAGCGCAGTAACATTCCCCTCTTTCTCCACGTTTTGGCGGGAAAACATCAGTCCTACTACTTCCCGAACAAACCCTGTATTGTTGTCACAATCTGCTCTACATGGTCCCAAAAGTTTACTTGGTAATATTATTACCGATAATTTATGAACTCCTCACTTGTCTGTGCTCTTTACTGATGCCTTCAGGTACTGGCTTCAGAGCTTGGATTTCCTCAAAGGTGTTATTTTGCAAAGATCAAACTATGTTTTAAAAATTAAAATAAGCTTTAGGTTGCTTCAATAGTTTTACACTGTTCTTAAAAACTATGAATACCAACTGATAGTTTTTACGTATTCAGCAGTATACTTATTAGTTATGGATATACTTTGTATGTATGTAAACATTTATTTATTAGTGAGAAATTTAAAACTGGCAAAATTCAACCTTAAACTCATGTTGGTTTTATCTAAAAATGAGGACAGAGACTCGTGCCACTCTTCCTTGAAAGAAATAATTTTCATATAAACTCAATGTCGGTTGAAACTTTGAATTTTACTTAATTTTAAATTTCAGATTAGCATGCTTTTCTTCCATTAGTATAATCAACATCTTTGCTAATAGTATTTTATACAATAATTTTCTTATTCATATGTGTATTGAAAACTGTCGTTAATGCAATGCTATGCACGAAATGCGGTATAGAAATAACAGTGATATGATTCTATTTAGGATTATTTTGCTAGAAGTAAAATATTTTTTATACAACTCTCTTGAAGGATAGATTTTGCAACAGGTTAGTGGTAAAGTTTCGTGATTTTAATTTTGATCTATATTTATTTTCATTTATAAGCATTCTCTCAGCAACATTATTACACTATCGCATATTTTGTCATCAGTACTGCATTTTTTTTATTAGGAATGTTACAGATCCGTATCCAACAGCTGCAAGTATATAACAAAAGTTTAATTAAAAGTTCTTTTATTACTTTCATATAATATTCAAATAACTACTAAAATGTGACAAGAAGTCACGAGCTCGGTAATGTTTTTTTTTTTTTTTTTTTTTTTTTGCAATTAAAAACCCCCTGGGCTTATAAGAGCTGCTCATAGTACATCTACAAGTGTCTCAGTCAAATGAGAGGTGAGATGAACTTCCTTATTTATTTAGTTCAAAGTCAATTTTCCATTTTGTTCACTGCAGTCTGAAAAATTTTATTGAACTGATCTAAACGCTCCTGTTGATCATTTAATCCATTCCTGAATAAATACTTAGAACTTCCTCCTCCACTACCAGAAAGTAAACGTTGCAGCGCGTCTGGAATACGAGCCATTATAGCTGTGACAAGCAATGTTAAAAGCACTGGTGACATTAATCCACCAATAACACTAGATCCGATGAACTGCCGAGACTCCTGAATTTGGGTTTGATGCGGTACTGTGAGTAGGGTGGAAATTAATTTTTTTTCTAAAGGCTTACTAATAACTTCTGAAAATATTAATATCAGTAAAATCAGTATTCCGAACGGGTTGAAAATCCTGAGCTGCATTCTGCTGCACAACTTTCAAATGCAGTCAAAAGTTCTGGGTCTCTTTACGAAAACCTGAAAGGAAAACAAAAATTTATGTGTAAGTTATCATAAATGTAGGAAGGATAAAAATTGCATAAAAGACATAAAATTTTATACATTCAACGTTCTAAATTTGCTAGCAGGTAGAGACACAAATTAAACGCAGTTGCAATTTGATACTGAAAATTGAGCTATAGAATAAAAAAAATGAAGGAAAAAAAAATAAATTAGTGCAAAACTTATAGTGGTCAAAAGTGATTTTGCCAAACGTATAATTTATAGTAATTTTTACGTAATTTAGTGCCCTGATTACAGAGATGAAGTCAGATTTTTTCTTCTGTCACACATAGATATTTTTTGAGAGTGGGGTTAGTATGAAATTATATTTACCTTTGTGGTTGCTCCTGAACAGATTTGAAATCAGGGGAAAACAAAAAAGAATCATTATTCCAATTCCACGTAACAAACGAAGCAAAAAATTCAATTTTCCATAAATATGATGGTTGAATAAATATATACACAGGCGGTTAAAATTTAACTTTGATTTAAATTTCTATTAAGTCTTGAATTGACGTTCATTAAATGCACATATTTGCCAATAAAGTTTTACTTATAAGTGTTCTCAATTTTTTAGAATTAAGAATCCTTCATATAATAATAATAATAAGCGAAAAAAAACCTTTTACTTAATATTAAAAGTTTAAATTAAAGTAACATTTAAAATCTGCGTCCAATGAAAAACAAATTTAAATACACAGTTTTTTTAAATTAAAAATATATAAATGATATATATGTTACCGTGAAAGACCAAAATTGGAGAATATCGACTTTCACCGGAGAATGTCAACATTCACCAAATACGTCGGTGAAAGATCGAATATTGCACTACATTCTTGTACATTCGGAACCTCACCGGCGTATGTCGACAATCACAGATATGCTCTGGTGAAAGTTGAAAAGAGAGGTTATAAAGTGCCGTAATAGTTTAAGTTGTTGCAATAAATAAGATTTGAATCACATAATTTTGTAAGATTTTTAATACTGTTATTTTATTTTCTCATTTAGAACGTACTGTATAATTAAGTAAGTTTTTTAACTTCTATTTTTTCCTTTCTCATTTGAATGTATTGTGTTTTTAGGTTTTATGTTTCTTATTTTCAAGTCTCCAAGTGCGTTATTCGCGACTGAATTACGGAGAAGAAATATAATATTGTTATATGTTTTCAACATTCACCATTAGTACATGGTGAATGTCGACATTGACCGGTGTAAGTCAGAAATAAGAGTATTTGGAAAATATTTCGGACATACACCAAGAGACTATGTGAATGATGACATTCGCCGGTGAAAGTCGACATTCTCCAGATTTCGTTGTTTCACCGTAACATATATATATATAATTAAAACTGTTCCTAAGTGAAATGCGTAATTGAAAGGTTCGTTTTTTCAACATACTTTGACAAAAGAGTATTTGAATAGCAGTTTAAATTAAGTTTTTTTTCAGTCATTTAAAATAGTAGCGTTAATATAGATAAACACTGCACATAGAACGCTATATTCTCTTCAGAAATTAAGGGTGCGAAATTCAGAGTCCCACAAGAGGATATTTATGATTCAGGTACCAATAATTCATATGTTTTCTTTAACGAATGCTCCTAACAGGCTCCATAAAACTAATCTTTTCATATTTTTAAACCAAGCGTGTAATGGGTTTTCGGATTAGGATTTGAGAGGCTCGAAAATACACGAAAATTCGAGTTTTTGAATCTCGAATGTTTTTCAAGATTCACGGGATATGAGTATTTGAAAGCAAATTTCCAAGCCGTGAGTCTTATGACCAAAGTATAAAGTAACTTAACTATATAAAATTTTCTTACAAGTATATTAATTGAAAGATTATGGTATTTTGAATAACATGAATGATAGTTAATGTTTTATGAATTTAAATTTTGTTTTTTGAATTTTCTTTATCATTACTATTAATATTATTTTTAATTTATTAGTTATTACTTTAGCGAAGAATTTAATTATTAGTTTATGAATTTTAATTAATATTATTTTAAATAATATTTCCATCTTAAATGCATTTCATGTACTTTGGCCCATGACGTAGCAAGAGTGTCACAGTTTGATCCACAGTCCTTGCCTGTTCTGACATAAAGAGAGTTACAATGATAATTTTAAATCTGAACTAAAAACATCCTTTTACATAGTAAACATTTGATCCTCTTGTGTTATGCCTTGTTCTCCACTGCTTATTGAAATCTCATGGTTACCCTTACACAGTTGCGAAATATGATTTGTTACCAGACCGCTGCAAGTATATTTTCTAAGTTCCTAGTTCACTTGTTTATTTTAAACTTATGTCATATTCTGTGGATTATTTTTGTATCGTAGAGCTGTTAGGTTATTCGGAGTGGTAGAAATGCAAAATCAGCTATGCTCTCCCCGGGATTCGAACAATGGAGCTTCTGGTTGTTAATCGGACATGCCACCAGTTACACTATGAGAGCAAGCACAGAGAAAGGCAATAATTTATTATATTCTCTTCTACTCAAATAGCAGATGGGGTGAGAGGGTTGATATCTTGTCAGCCAAATTCGGATAAAGTTCAGATTTTTGGAGCAGGAGAAGGACAATAAATCAGCTCTGTATTCTCAGGAATTCGAACCACAGATCTTCTAACTGCTAACTGGTTGCTGTACCAGTTATACCACGAGAGCACGTTGGTGCAAAGTTGATAATTCCCTATTTCACTTGGCATACGATAGGTTTGCCATATAATAGCTTGGCAGCTTTGTGTAACTTCGTTTCAGAAATCTGTACCGTTATCAGAATGAGGAATTTTTAATGTCCCAAAAGTGGTGAAATGTCCTAAACATTAACGTGCGACTACCTTAGTCTTTCTCGAACGTAATGGTTGCAGATAATACAACAAATTCACGAACTTTGTCAAATTGTCGTGATATATCAGTATGAAGTTTGGCTTATCTTGCGGATCAATTAGATCAGTTTGGCATAAGGAATCAGTTTCGTTGAAAAGTATTGGGTCTGGATTGGAATATCATGTTTTTTAATGTTTCATGGTTCTTTCAATGGGGCTTGCATAACCTCAGAAATAAAGCAACTGACAAAGGGCGTTTTTATGCTTGCGATTTAGTTTCAGAATCATCTGACTTCTTTCGACAAAGCCAGTGGTGATATGAATCTCTTCCATTACTTTAAAGAATGCAAACTTGATAAAGAATTTCATCTTTTTCACCCGATATTCATGATACGAATTTCTCTTCCGATGCTGAGAACTCTTTTAATGCCATACTGTTTTAAATATGTACAGTGTTCGTTCACAATTACAATTTTTGCATCTTTCACATCAGTCAAAAGAGAATTATACTTTTCATTAGTTAAACGAAAGTTATAATTTGTTGTTCTGTTATCAAACAGTGCCCTTAAAATTCGCTAAAGTCATTTAGATTGACGTTGCTTATTTTGATTGAGACAAGCGTCGCTTGCAAATATTAAAATGCACAGAGAGAAGACCTATTGAAAGCTGATTGTTATGGGCTAGCTTTTAGTATCTCTCGTCAGTAAATTCTGACAATACCTTTGCCTGTTTCTGAAAGGGGAAGCTTGTGTAATTTTCTAGAGATTTCGAACATTTTTATTGCAACATAGACAGATGAGTTAAAAAAAAAAAAAAGACTAAAAAATGCAAAAATAATCTTTCAGGTAGAAAGGAACTTCACAAAACCCAGCTGAATATAAAAATGTACAGAATGAAAAAAAGTATATGTAAAATATGCTTTAAAAGTATATATAAAATATGCAATTATGGAAACGTAATTTGCTACCTCCTTCCATCACGGAAAAAATTTAATCAGACAATGCAGAAGTCATAAGTTTGATCATATTTTGAATCCAATGAAGAAAAAATAATTAATGAAATGACTGTAAAATACTTAATAATTCACAATAATACACTGCTGGCCATTAAAATTGCAGTACCAGGAAGGAATGGTCTGACGAACGTCAAAATGACATGACAGGAAGAAGAGGTTGGGATATGCAAGTAATTAGTATTTCAGCCCATTTAGACGACGCAGGAGGGAGAAACGACATTTGAAGATCAGCATAAAAGAAAAGTTGTGTAGTGTATTTCTCATTCGGAAAGAGCTTTGTAAGTTTGGAGTTTGCTCAGAATATCGTGCTATGTCTTGACTAATAATAAAAAATGCTTACCAGCAAGTGTCGGAACGCGATAGAGGTAGGATCGTTCGTATCGAGAGTGTGGATTATCGTTTTTTGGTATTGCAACTCGCACTGGTCAACATCCAACCACTATCTTGCGATTATGGAATCAATGGGTTGCTGAGGGTCATATTGAATGGCATGCAGGGTCTCAACGCCTTCTTATGGCTAACGCCCAAGAACACAGACATATTATGAGGTCAGCCCTACAAAACTGCATGACCACATCACGGACCATTAGCCATAAAAGAGACATGTTTGAAGCACGCCTAGCATCCGCTCGTACGGTGTGTCGACGTTTACAACCGCGTGGACTATTAACACGACGACCATTACTTCGGCTTTTCTTGACAACAGCATAAAGAGACGGCGACTCTGATGCTCCGAATTACAAAGCTGGATACAGAAGTGGCACAACGTCATCTTTTCAGACAAGGACGGGTTCTTCGCGCAGTATTCTGATGACGGTATAAATATCTGGAGGCTCCGAGGAGATCGCACGTCGCCTGCTTGCATTTGATATCAGCATATAGGGGCATTGAACCTGGTGTAATGGTTTGGGCAACCATCTGGTACAAGACACGCACATCTCTAGTTCGGCTAAATGGTAATTTGTACGCAGATCGGTATATTTCTGACATCTTACGTCCGGCAGGTTGTGCCCTATCTTCGAGGCCTGCCAAACGCCATCTTCCATCAAGAAAATGTAAGACCACATGTTGCACGTCGTGTTTTGGCCTTCCTTGATCCTCATGTTATTCGATTTTTGCCCTGGCCTGCACGGT